TTTTGTGTTAAATAAATTGCATCTACAAATTGCAGAGCTATGCATCTATTCTCCACCTCAGAATTCCTTCTAGCTTTCGAATTATTCTCCGCGGGAAAGATGTTGAACACCATAATATAGTGAATGACATGATAATGCCCCAGGAGGTTACTTATCATCCGCAGCCAGGAACTGATGGGGTCCCAAAAGATGCTAATGTAATTTTTGTCATAATGATATTTGGTTGAGAGTTATTTTCTCATAGCTAACGTGCAAATCTGGTGACTATATTTTTTTCTTTGTTATTAGATGGTTGCTTCTGTCACTATTGGGTGTGTAAAGGATGCAAAAGCACATATTGATGTTCAAGGTTTTAATGTTTATCACAAAAATCAACTCATTAAGGTTTGTCTTCTGTTTCTTTGTAGTCCTCGCTATATATGAAATGTTAAATGCTCGCCATTTATCGACTAAATTAATGCCTGGCTTCTGTTCCTTTGCGTTGTCATCTGATTATATTTGTCAATATTAGTAGTTACATATAGTGTTACTATGCCCCCATTTGGTTCAACTAAAAATTAGATTTTTTAGTAGATTTTGATAAAAGTTGATGAAATATGTCGTTAAAAAAATGATAAAAAATTGTGGGTCCTATGAAATATGTGTTTGAAAATGAATTTGACGAAAAATGAGTTTCAGAAAATGGGTGGCCAAACTGGGGCTATGTGTCTTTTCTATTTTCTGAGATTTATCAACTTAGGTCATGCTTTTCACAATTAGCATTTTGTTTTTTCTCATATTGATTGGTATATGTGGAACTCTAGCCATTTTGGAGACTTTGGCATGCTCCTGGTAGTGATGGTCGTGGAGTTAAGGTATTCTGTCCTGTTTACTTCCATAAATTTCATTATGTTTAGTTGCATAATGTTGTACATCTTCCTATCAGGTGTGCTGGAAGCCAATTTTGTTGAACCAGCTCATGAAAAGCAAGGGTTCGAGCGTTCTACAGTTCTTGCAAGATTGGAGGCACAATTGATACAGATGCAAAAGACATTGGTTTGTTTCTAGTGTGCTGCAGACATTTGTTTTCCTCCTATTGTCTCCATTCCTTACCTTCTATGGGTATTTAATGCTTATAATTTTTGTATTGCTTTAGGTCATCAAATTGTCATCACATTGGCTATTCTCGATGACGAAATAAGAAAGCTTATGAAAGAGGTATGAAA